AGGAGAGTTAGGGTTTTTTCCCTAGAGAGGGAGGAGAGATGGTGAGCTAAAGAGAGAGAAGAGATCCGATTTTGGTTTAAAAAAATAAATTCAAATATATATTTTCAACATTTACAATCTAACTCTTGATCTTTAACTTATTTCTAATATAATCATACTTTGGTGATTTCCTTACAATTTTGGTCCTAACCAAGATTGTTTCAACCAACATGGTCCTTAAGAATAAATTATAAAGAACTTGGTTCTAATAAACAACTTTTGAATGCTAAGATACAAGTCAATAAAGCACAATTTCATAAATTGAACACATTTGGGCTTTCGGCTATGAGATTGGATTTACTAAATACGGGGTATTATATTAGTGAATTTCCTCTATCGTCTTCCCGACCACCCAACCCTTCCCTCCGGCAAATACCGGTTTCATAACTCACAATCCCGACATGGTAGCATCATGAATCGTGACCAAAACCGGCAACCAATTCGTTCCCTGAACTTACCACCAAAATTTCATCATGGCACCACTCGTGCACCACCAAAGCCAAAGGTAGGCCTACTCAAAAGAGATATGGTTACATGTGAAACCAAATATTTTTTTAAGGTATAAAAGCTTTTGAAACCATAAATTTTTTAGGGTGAAACCTTCAACATAAAAAATCTTTAGGGAGTTTAAATGAAAAATTAAGAAATAAACCGTTCTGACATCCAGAACTTGAGGATGGTGGGTTGAAAGTAGTTACGCTTTAGTGGTTTTAATTCACTTCCCTTCCTTTTCAATTTTTATTTATATATTTTTTATCATATTAATTAATTATCAGCTAAAATACATCAAAAATACGTTTTTTTTTCCTTTTAAAAATTACATTGTTAGAAAGGTCTTGTCGATATCTTCGAAACAGGCTCAATACTAAATATTTTTAAAATTATTTATATTTTTAATGTTAACAGAATAAAATATCGTATTTTAACATTAATTACATGTGTCATGCGTGTATGATAAATATAATATTTAATCTCTATTAAATTCACGTTTGACTTGATGTTTGTCGTTGATTCTTCTAAAAAAAATTCTAATACAGTTAAACGTTGAACTCCAAGATTATTATTTAGAGTTAATTAGGGGTTAATCTTTTGACTTCAGGGTTTATTTGTTAAATTAGGATTAACTTAAGTTAGTTTCTTTATATTTGGTGTAAACTCTTTAAACTTTAGAGTTTATTTATTTATATCTGAGGTTAATATATTGCATCTCGATTCGATGATGTAGAATCATCAGTGAAAAAACCTTATTTAATATCATCTCCAACTCAACATCAAAAACATAAAAATAAAAGTATTTTCGTTTTCAACCCAACACTAAAATACTAAAACAATGGAGGTATAAAATGTTAGCCTCTATATCTAGATGTATAGTTCTGTATAAATATATTAATATTTTATTCAACTTTTTTAATTATATATTGTTATTATTATAATATTAAAAATATTTTTAGTTTTTTTTAGTTTATGGTTACAGTTAGGGTTTTTTTAGTGGTTGAGTTGGAGATGTCATTAATCAATTACAAGGATGAAAAAGAGATAAATTACAAACCACAATGACTTGAATATATTGTTTAATATTTTCAGCACAATGTTTAGTAATTACATTTTCCTAAAACCATTTGAATGAGGTTTAATCAGTAAAAGGGCATAAGTTGTTAAGTTTAAAAGTGAAATGTAGAAACTGTAAATGATAGAAATTAGAAGGATATATTTTGCCATAAAAGAAAAACAACTAAAAAGATACGGGCGGGTAGAATATAATTTAAAAAGGTAATTTAGGCAGAAAAAAAAATACATTTTACACTCTATAATTAATTACTTAATTTTTTTATATTCTTTATTTTTTTTTTCATTTTTCATCCTACATATTTATTATATTCACACACATAATTATATATTAATTAAAATGCATGAAAAAAATACATTTTTTTTTATAAATTACATTATTATAATCGTCTCATCAATATGTTCAAAATGAGTCCAATATTAAATATTTTTTATTTTTATCTTATATTATTAAATATTATAAGTGGGGACGAATTATTTTTAAAACTTACATTTTCTAACCTTATTGTTATTTATTTAACTGTAATTATGAGTGCATAAAATGTAATTACTAAAATAATTTGTAAGTTTTATAATGTTTAATAGTATAAGATTAAATTCAAAAATATTTAATATTGTGCTCATTTTTAACGTATTGACGAGACTACTAGATGTAATTTATTAAAAAATGCAATCTTTTATATATTTAATTATTATACGATTATGCGTTATAATATAATAAAGATGTAAAATGAAAAAATAAAAAATATAAAGTAAATTAAACAACTAATTATAAAGGTGTAAAGTGTAAAAAATAGTAAACATGATTCAAACTATTTTTACACTTTACATATTTATAGTTAATTGACTAATTTACTTTATACTCCTTAATTTTTCATTTTTCATTTTACATCTTTATTATATTATAACACATAATCGTATATTTACTAATTTTTACAAGTTATCTCATTATAATCGTTTCGTAAATAAGTTATATTGAATATTTTTGAATTTGATCTTATACTATTAAATAGTATAAATATGTATGAATTATTCTTAAAACTTACATGTTCTACATTTATAGTTATTTATTTAATATACTTTTATTTTTATTTTTTATTTTAGACTTTTATTATATTAACAGACATAATATGTAATTATAAGAGTATAAAATGTAAATACTAACAATAATTCGTAAACTTTATCATATTTAATAATATAAGATCGAATATAAAGATATTCAATATTGAGTTCATTTCGAATGTATTGGCGAAACGATTATAATTATGTAATTTGTAAAAAAAACATATTTTTTCATTTATTTTAATTAATATACTATTATATGCATTAATATAATAAATGTGTAAAATGAAAAAATAAAAATAAAAGATATAAAATAAATTAGAAAACTAATTATAATAATTTTTTATAAAATTGAAATTTTACACAAAAACCATCATAAAGTTTAGATGTAAACTTTGAGTATTTGAAAATTTTATTAGCTTAAATTTCTCAAGACAGGGGGTGACCTACGTGTGCATTTGATGTAATCGTACCAGATTATGTCCCTTGAGCCCTTACGGACACTATTATTTGCATTAATTAAGTATCACGTGATCTTTTATATTTAAGATACATGCATGATTATGTTTGATTTATAATTATGATGTTTATTGAGCATGCTACCTTTTGATAGATTTGTCATGCCTCTTAGTTATGTGGAATGTTTTATTATATGACAATGCTATACTTTAAGATGGGATGAATTTCATAAGTGTAGTGTTCGTATTAGGGTGTTAGTAGAGCATGGCGGGAAACGTATTTGTTGAATGATAGTCGGTACGTATACAAAAGGGAATACCTCTTATAAGATGGTAGTCAAGATATATGCAATAATTCACCGAGCTTGAGTAGTTATGAACGGAATGACAGAAGCCACCCCCCACCATGTTGAAACTTGAATGAAGGTATAAGATCTCTAATGTGATATATGCATGAAATGTCTTAATATGCATAATGATTTATGGATATTTTGTGATGCATATGATATGATCCTGATTTATATTGTCAATATAATATATCAATCTATTTGTGAAACCATAAACTCAGTGAGGATAAAATTAACGGATGATGTGTATCTCGGGATATGGCGAGATTAAGAGCTATAAGAGTATATGTGTAATACGATTTGTGGAGAAATGACTACGCCGTCCGGACCTACATTATGTTAACCAAATTATGTGATAATGTATTTGTCTAAGTTAGACTTGAACAAATGTGCACATAAGGACTAAGATGGTCCAATGTTTATGGTGTCAAAATATACACGCTACTTGTTATGGGTAGTTTGAATGTTTTAAGGTGTGAAATCTCATTGATATCTAGTTGATTTTTTTTAACGTAAAAAGAAAAATACATAAACCTCAAATCTGTAATTTTAAAATGTTTTTTACTAACCACTACATGTCTTTGTTAATAATAAAAAATACATTTGATGTTAAATTTGGTTTCTTCATTGAAAAAGTTACTAGGTTAGTTCATTATATGCAACAACAGCACATTTAAAAGATCTGAATTTTAATACTGATGTTGATATTTTTTGTTAATGACTAATGATTATGAATATTTTTAACATTTGAAATACATATATCTTAGGTTTTGCTGTTGTTATGGAACATGTAATTGAATCTGCAAATATAACATACTTCACATCTATTCCTATTATATTTAAAGACGTACTATAATCTGATTTTAATTTCGTATAACGTAATTTCAAAACCTCTATTTTAGTACCTTAGATGTTATATTTAAAATATTTAAGAATTATATGAAAATGTAGTATACCTTGACCATCTTTTTTACTTTAATCTAAATGTTTTGAGATATCACATCAAGATATCAAAATGGAATTTCTGAAACTACATTACACAAAACAGAAATCGAAGCAAAATACATTTGCATTTTCATTCAATTTGCTCCAGAAAAGAATATGAACAATGAACAAAATAGTAGCCACTAGCCAGTCAAACCTTAGATTAACTTCATAAACCAGGACCGATCAGTACTGGCATGGGCCAGACCTGCAACCAGTCTCAAATACTGGAAGTGGACGCCTTTATTCGCCCCCCTGAATCAGAGTGGGAAGCTCGAATTTCAAAATGATGTCTTTCCCGCTTTCTGGGCTTGGCTCATCTATGGCATTTTATTAAATACCAACACACTAGGGAACAATACCAGTAAGCTTTTTGGTCCTTGAATCTCTGTACTTATCGGTTGTCATGTACACTCAATAAGGTAAGTGACACCGAGTACGCGTGCAGTAAAACGGCCCCTAAATATCAAATACCAACACACTAAATGCACCTTGAGTTTATTAATGTTATTGATTGCAAAACCAGCATCAACTTCCTCTAACCATCATATTATATTGCAACAGATGCAAACTTAGTTCTACTGTATTTTCTTCTTTTTTTTATAGAGACATATATGCTCTCATTCATTGGTGACTAAAAAAGAAACAGAAGGAAATCATTAAGAGCTGTACAACTAACTTTGGTTTTCTGACATTTATTGACAAGTCTAAGGTCTGTATGGTGTTGGTAACGAGATTTGGGAGATCGAGATGCAATATCACACAGCAACAATATCTTGGTTCCTTGGTTTGGTCTTCCATCAATAGCACCAGTCGCGGAGTTTTCATCATGTTAACGGATAACCAAGTTTCTGTTCCAAATTAACCATGAAAATCCAATATGTAAGAATTAATAGTCTGGTAAACAATTTTTAGGTGAATTTACCTGCTAATTGTTAACAAGGGAGTGCCTTCAGTGATGGTCTTATCACAGTCAAACAGAACTTGTTTTGATCCCATTCTCAGTAGCTTCCCAGTTGATAAATGCTTCATCTAATCAAGGAATTTAGAACCGTAAATTTCACTCAGAGATTGGTCAGAGTGATGAGTGATAAATCAATGACGCTTACCTCACTTTGTTGTTGAAAGGAGCATACTCGGTTTTCTTTTGAGCCCTTGTGCCAAAATAATATACAACTCAGTAGAAGCTAAAACAATGCAATCTTTAGGGTTGATAAAAGCTAGGTTTAATTAATGTTATGAAAAGGGAATAGGAATAACCTTCGTAAAAACAGAAGGCCTAGGCCTAGACCTAGGCCTATTTAACTGAGAACCAGAATCCTGTTGAAGTTCTGATGCCAACGAGAGCTACAAATCACAAAAAGGATGGTGAAAGTCGTGAATGTTATAGATGCAACCTTATAGGTTTATAGCAGAGTAGCAGATCAATAAGAGATTGTGATAAATAATAAACAAATGAACATCATGATGGCCAACTGTTTCTGAAACACAATCTCCCCCAGGACCATGAAAATTGCAACGATTTCGTTTGAGGGATGTTTTTTTATGTTATAATTGCATGCTTGTCAAGAACATCAATATGTTGATTTGGCTGCCAAGATTCCCTAGATTCGTAATTATTGAACAGAATGTTAGACATTAGACAAATAGTCAAACAATTATCTAAAACTATCTGCCCAGTTAAGTGTTACAATGTTCATGGGACAGGAGCACTTTGATAAAAATTTGTGGAACTTACAAAGTACAGATGTCTAAAAGGCTTGTTCATCCCAGAACAGAAGGGTGTTTAAAGTTGTGCGGGGTTGTATAATAGGAAAAGACAAAAATTCAACAGGGATGGACATTTACAGGAAGCATACCTTGTTAAAGAGATCAACTGGTGGAGCATGATGAGCTCTCTTCTCGGTTTGAAAATTAAATGTCTGTGGAAAGATCAGAAGATGGAAATCTATGAAGTCGATAAGCAATTGAAGAGTAGGAAGATGGAAGTAAATGCCATTATGGGCAACTACCATAGCAACTGTCGTCTCCCTCTTGCTACTTCTGAAAACTCCTAGATCTCCTTTACTGGAAAATATCTGCATTCAGCAAAAGCGTGCATCCATTGATTAAGTATTTGTATTATTTAGAGATTAAATTTATTCCTGAATGTAAAGCCAATACCTTCTTGTTAAGGGGTAGAGCTTTAAATCTGTGAATTGTTTCACAATCCTCCTGTTTCGAAACACTAGCAACATGTGATCTGAGAGAGAAGATGTGTTATACCATATATACATGGATCTGATATTAACAATCCTACATAAAATAAGTTCATATGCTGAAGATGACAAAATATGAATGTGTCTTACTTTTGCAATGTAGAATAATCACATGAGCAGTAGGTTGTACTCATGGAAATCCTAACACCACATGTTAAATAGGGTATGCCAAGTTAGTCTTAAAAGTAAAGAAGTTTACAACATTACTACAATTCTCTCTGGCAGTAGCAAAGTTAGTCATGCTTATCACACTACAGAATATTAAAGAACTTCCCATAAGCATCAATAAAAAGAAACTGTTAGATCCCATTCAGAGTTCCACAATGATAAAGTTTACGTCATTAAAGGATTATTGAAATAATACCCTTTGGATTCTCTGTTGCTACTTTCTGCAGCAAAGGCAAAACTAGGCTTCTGCGGCACCTGTAAAAAAATACACAATTTTTAGATCACATCATCTTTTTGGACATCAGTGATCCACCAAAAGAACAATTCTCTCTTCATCAAGATATAAAAATTTCAAATCTTGTATGTTTTTGGCTTTGATTTCTAACCTTCAAGTTGTTTCCACAAGCTGAAGTTGATGGAACTGCAGCAGCATTTTGTGCAGCCCTCTCTGTTGTCTTCAGGTGAAATTCCTGGTACACAGTATCAATATGATCCATGACGTAAACCTCAAAGGTTTAGAAGTGATAATTGCCACAAAAATTGCACGAAATAAATATGAAGTAACGACCAATAAGATCGATTTGGGAGCTTACTTGAAACTCTGGTAATTGGGGAGTGCTTCTTTTTTGGTGTAACGATGAAGGTGCCTCAAAAATCTGCCAGTGACCAACAAGATAAAGAAAAAAATAACCTGACAATTGCTTTGTAAAAAGCTGCTATTTAAGTACAAACCTTTCTGTTGAGAGGAAGAGCTCTGAACCCAGGAGCTCTTGATGCCACATGCTCACTTCCAATATCACCTTTTGGCCTGACACCAGAAAAAAATCAAGTACATCAACTACTGTTAGAGAAGAAACATGTTAAATGCACAAACCATTGGAAAGCAATAGCAAGGTGGACTTAAACCTTATCCTTTGTGCCCTTTGAGCTGTTGCAAGATCAGGTGGTCTAGGAACAGTGATTCGTAATCTACCATGACCTGCATTCCCATCAAAGGTGCCTTCCTGTAAACCATCAAAAGGAGCTAAGAGAACTTTCAAAAAGTTAAGAACTGAATATATAAAACAGCATGCACCTCCACCCTCTAGATTTCCACTACTAGATGGCTATATTAATACCCAAAGTAGGTATGCGGATAATGTCATATCACTCATTCATCAATCAGCAATAAGGAAAAAAGGTGATAATACATGTCCTCTGGAAACTTTCACCCGATTTTAGAACAAGCACATGTTGTGGTTTTAATTTGTTGAAAGATTGGTGTTCGATGAGCTTGAGGCAACCTAGGAAACAAGCTATTCAGCTATCACATGTAACATTTGGGATATACACATTAAAGTTTGGAAAACGAGAATTGAGATGATCAGCTCCTCTTTCAAATACTGTACTTATCATGAAGCTGTAATTAATTCACCAATGCAGGAAAAAGGACAGCACGTCTATTTGAGGGATATGCAACTCACCCTTTTTGGCGGCTTGTGGACAAAGTTAGCTTGTTGCTTTGTCTCTGTAACCTGTCAAGTAAACATTTCAAATGCTCATAAGTTGCATCTAGAACAGAAGGGAATGGCATTAAACTCAGCCGTATGTTAAATGAAACTAGACAAATTCCTTGTGATGGTTAACACCAGGTTATCATAGGTAGGTTTCAATCCCATTTCAGGAAGAATAGAAGAAAGTATTATTCGAGGTTCAGGAGAAAAAAAAACACGGACAGACTTATGAAGCAATGTTCTATGATGTTTTTATAAGCAATAAACTCAAAAAGGTATGTTCATGTCTTCTGGCTCCAGTAGTACAATCTAAACATATTTGCAATAACATCAACTAAAGTAACAGAAGCTTTTGTGTCTGAGTAGTAAATATTCAAATGCATGCAAGAGTTGGTTTGTAACTTGTAAACAAAAAAACTACTTGTATATCTGACCTTACACAAGTGGCCGCCCTCGAGCTTTTGTCTTTTAGCAGCTTGACTTTCAATGCCAGAAGAACTGTTCCCCAATTTCTGAAACCTAACACACAATGATACACGATGTTTGAAAATAAGGACAAGAAAGACATTGATTGTTTATTCATAGAAACACTATTCTATTTACTTGTCCTTCCATTCTTATCTACTTAATCATAGTAATCAACAAGCATGCACCAGATATCCAAGCACATCAGATGATGAATGCAGTAACGACCACAGGAATTTTTGCAAGTTGTGTTGCAATATTTGACATGAGATACTTGAAAAGGGAATGATGACATCAAAAAATTTAGCAGTGATTACCTGAAATGATCCACTAAGCGCTCCTGGTTTTGTTTAGCCAATTGACTTGCTGTAGGTTTCATCAAAGTTGAGGTCCTTGGAAAAGATGGTTTCCAACTTGGTTTTGTCTTAGATTTATAATTATCATTTCTTGTGCTATCTTTAAATCCCAACCCTGCAAGGACGTAAATAGCACATGCATCTTAGTTTACAGACGACAAAAGGAAAATGGAACGGATAAAACAACAGAATTCTCTAGACAATTGAATAGGATATTGCTTTGATAAACTTAAGGACAAAAATGCTTCTTCTTCAGTAGATGGGCAAGGACTTTATCAAATAGAGCAAAGCCAAAAGAAAAAACCACCAATACAAAGAGATAGTTGGTTTTAAGGGATTAGAATTATAGCAATAATGATGTTCGGTTATAAGAAATGGGATAGAAAAATGAAAATGATTCACAAATAGATCGGAATCGCCCGAACCCATTGAGATGATGGATTTTTAAACCCACTCCCGAATTTAGCTCATAATAATAATAATATATTATTGAGATTATTAAATGATTTTGGACAATTTAAATGAGGTTATATGTAAAACACTAGGAAGGTAAAAAAACATGTAAAAGACGAGATAAAATAACGCCTTACAAAAACCATGCATGACAGGGTTAATGTGACGTCAGAGACGAGTCTTTAGCCACGGCGAACACTGCATACTAATAAAAATATTAAAAATAAAACTATTATTGTTATATTCATTTAGTATTAAATATATGAATGTTAATAAAGCATTATAATAATAGTAATGTGATCTTTATTAATATTATTATCATTAATAATAATAATGTTGTTCATGTTATTATTATTTGATTTATTATTATTACTATTATTATAAACATAGAAAAAAAGTGGAACTAATTACATTTTTATATCTAAATATTAACAAACGAACATCATTATTGGTAATGATACCCGAACTCAACTCATAAACCAACAACAGCTTTGGATGACTCTTATTCCACCCTACTATCAAATTCATAACCATATTCCAAACAACAAGCCAAACGCCACCTAAGATTAAGAGACTTGAAGCACCTCTAGGTATTGTACTGGTAGACTGTTGCTTCTGGAACGCTTGTAGATAGTAACTCTTCAACTCCAAAGGAACTCCCTCATTCACCCCATCACCGTCTGCAAGGGAGTTAACAGCTGAAGGTATAGTCAATTAATGATTACATATCTCATATCTTACAAAAATGCTGGAAAAGCGCATGAAACTTGTATGTGCTACGAGAGAGACACTTATGAATGCAGATTGATCTAAGTCAAAGCATATGACAAAAAGAATCAGCTGATGAATACACGCCCAGCTTATATCATGATGGTCCTTGTATGCATCAAGGATCCAATAATCAAATACTCCTAATCATATTTTCTAATTATTTGCATCATCTTCTCAGTGAACAAGTACAAGGTGGGAATATGGATGTAGTTAGCAGTCTAGTTAATACCTGTGTTTCTCAAAGCCATTGCAGAATCTTCTGGTGCTCGTACATCAGAGACACCATCCAGCTGACTTGCGTCATCAAAACCTTTTGATTGTGAAGCAACATCTGCATTTTCACTTAGTTCTCTTGAAAGTAATCTGACTGCGAACGCTGAAATAAAAAATACAGAGAGAGATGAGCGAAGATGGATATATCTGATGCCATGCCTACAGAAATTTAAAAAGCAAGGTCTTTCACAACAAATGCTAGTAATAACTTCTTGCGGCATTAGCAAACTCAAATTACCTTCTACGTTCTTTATTTCAATGGGATTGAAAGAAATTCATCATGTACCAAGTAGAAGGGGGACTGAAAAAAAGTGCCATTTTAGGACTGCATTAGGAAATCTTGTATCATGGCTATTGGCGGCCCTCACACGACATGATATCTCATTGTAGAATTGCTAAGAAAATAAACTTTTTTTCCAGAAAAGGAGTTATGTTCAATTTATTTTGTTATTCATCTGTTTGATATTATTGATCTAAAAAACTCATTTGTTCCTTTACTTTTTTTTGGATGCAGAAAAGGTGCCCCATAGGGGCCAGGTGATTCGAACATGAGACTTTTCTATACATTTTTCAACACATCCTGTGTACCAGGAATGTGAAAGCAGTGTTTCATGATTTTACTTTAAGTGGAAAAACTGGGACCAGCTATGATATACTTGGGGAGGAAATAACATCAATAAAAGGAGATTGGCTGTAGCTGGAGGATGCAATGGTCGAAAACCAAGCAAATATGCTTCAACTGTTCAACAGCCAAACAAATTAATGATGCATTTGATCTGGTATTATAAAACCACAAGCAAATTAAATTACTCCAACAAGAGTAATATTCCAAAAGGCACAAGCCATTTATATGCTAAACACAACCAAGAAATAACCACAGCAGGGTAGACCTCAAAATTACAAGGGGGCAGTAACTTCACAGGTCAATAGACTGAATAATTCAATAATGACTGGTACACAGGAGCCCTTATTAAGTACAACGGTATACATTGTTTTCTGTAGTAATAATAATAATATGGACCACAGATACAAGACGTGTATCAACATTTAGCTGCCTGAGTCCAACTAAGGGGTTTACCCCACACCTGATAAGCATATACTGCATAAACATGTCCATGAATAGATTATGAAACCACAAGGTGTATCCGTGTGAAATTACTTTTCAACTATCATTTTGATGGTGTACCATACACCAATACCATTTTGTTACAGAATAATGGATATGTTTAGACTTTAGACTTTTAAGGTCAAACCTTACACTCTAAATCAAAATTGACCTAAATGATCCACAATTTAACCAAAATCACATCTGTGAGCGAGCCTTCATGATGTTATATCTACCAACTAATATTTTTTCTTGACATTTATCAATTTTGAACCTAAACAACCTATGATTGACCTCGAAAGTCAAGATTAGGGAGCATAAACATTTTACACTAAAAAAATTCAATAAAATTTAGCTTGGCTCGAGTTTTGCCCTATTTTATAGGTTTAACAAAACGATCGTTATCAGAACAATAACAATCTCAAGCAAATGCTACTTAACAAAAAAATGAACATCGCCAGCAATACTCAAGCTCTATCAGTGTAAAAAGAAGCTAAAATGGATAACAACGACTCTTAATAATGCAAAAAAGAAAAAGCGCAAGCGTAAAACAGCAATGTATACAGATTTCAACAACTTACGCGAAGGAGGATAGCTTTCGACGGAATCAAACCACATTTCTGCCTCACGAGCTTCTTCTAGCGACTCCTCCCTTTTAAAATCAAAGAACCTCGCGGCTTCGAACTCGTAATCGAGGTCGATTTCCACCGCCGTAAACGTAAACTCAACAACCGTATTACTACTACTATTGTCATCCTCCATTTCCACCTCCATTCTCAAAATTCTATCTAGAAAACCTGTGATTTTGGCTTCAGACTTGCACAAAAGCTGAGTATTTTGGGGATTGTGTTGCAGAGAACAAAGCTACAGATACAGATTTACGTACCTGTAGGTATACACTATACATACAAAGCTCTGTATCTATAGATTGGGGGACTGTAGCAAGGGACAAGATGGGTATTAAAAAGTGATTTGGAATTTGAATAGAGGTGGGGTTCCAAGAGGAAGATAACGTTATATTTTCTGAAATGACGACTATACCCTTCCTTATTGGTTTGTTTGAACGGGGCTTGTTTTTATTCTTTTATTTCTGGGTTCTATAAACAAATTTTGAGAAACGTGTCTTCGTGCAATGTGAGGGATGAGAATTTTTAAAATTTGTGAAGTAAATGAATATAAAAACCCATTTAACATGTATTTTTCAACAATCATAATATAAAACGTTATCTTTATATTTAATTTGTTTTTTTTTATTAACATGGATATCCAACCTATTATACGAGCCGATTAATCTCAGGACAATCACATGTTTTGTATGTAACCCGAAGTTACCGTATTTGAACCTCCGTGACCACAAGATAATTTTTGTTCCTTCTTGGATTTGAACCTGAGACCTCCGGACACTTTTGACCTTTGGAAGCAAACTCAAATCAATCAGACACCACCCTTGTGGTTTAATTTACGTTTTTTTGTTCACTATAAATTTTTGTATCAATTGAATAATTCTTAAGACGATCGTGAAGTTATAGTAAAACCTCTATAACCATAAAATAGGGCTCGTAATGGGTAGGGTAAGGGTTAATTCGTTATCTAATTCATGTAAAATAACGGGTAATTATCCATGTTATAAAACTCTTATTCATATTCATATATTACCCACTAAGATAGCGGGTAATAGATAAATGGTAAAAAAAATATTTTGAACTACAATAATATTGTTAAAAAACAATATATAAGTTCAAAAGAAGACCCCTCTCTTTCTCTCTCTCTATATATATATATAGAGAGAGAGAAGGGGGGGGGGTTACTTTACAAACCATGTTTTTTTATACAAATTGATTCATCCATTTTCATGATCAAAAGTTACGATTAAAACAAGTTATTTTAGTAAAGTAGAAAAATAAAAGAAAAAAAAATATCATTTTCAACAAGAAATGGCAAAACGAGAACAAAATTTAAATTGTTGCAATCATTGAAATCCTCTTTCCCGCATTCAAGCCCGTAAACATGTTCCATTGGACACTATGAAACTGTTAATGTTGGGGCAATAGGCTATTTAAAAGTGTTAATGATGAAATATAATAAAACTGTTGCATTAGACATAGTGAAACAAAATGAAACTGTTAATGGTGAATCTGTTAATGAAACTGCTAATGATGAATATGTTAACGATGAAACATAATGAACTGTTAATTATGAAACAAAATAAAATTGTTAATGATGAATATGTTAATAATGAAACTGATGAAATAGAGTTACCTATAAACTATAATAGTGGGATATTTTAATAAATGATGAAACATAGATATTATTTAATCAACAGTTATTGTATATTTTCAAAGATGGTAATTTGTATCAACATATTTAATGGATAAATCAATTAAATATATACTAAAAATGTGCTAGCTAATCAAAATATAATCCATATTTATATAAAATTAAAAAATTACCAAATTTATCTGTTAGTATTGAATACTTACCAAACATAGTTATTGTAATCTCAAAATACCATGATGCCCTTATAAATTAAAAATAAAAACAAATGGATTTATGTGATCGGTTGTTATTAGTTTTATAAATTGAGGTGGTTTGTATTTAAACTCTCTCTCTCTCTCTCTCTCGCTCTCTCTCTCTCTCTCTCTCTCTCTCTCTATATATATATATATATACATACATACTCATTCAAAGGAGAACCGATTAGTTTGTGTTAACCGTGAAATCCAATGTGAACAACTTGTTTGATATATTTAAGGATATTTCTTAAATAAAATAGAAAGGTAATATAATAATTTTATTTTTAGCAACTAATCAAAATATTTAATTAAATTTTTTAGAAAAAAATATTTAATTAAATTTAATTGCTTAGTATATTAATTACCTAAAAATATGGATAATAATGTGCACATTTTATATTATAATAAAAAAAATACCATTTTTATTTAAAAAAAAATATTGTGTTTACTTTAGCCAATTTATTTAAACACAATAATATATTAAAACAAATAGTTAATTATGATATTTTATTAGAATATCTCCAACAAATTTTTTAAAATATAAAAATAAAAGAGAAAGCGTGTAAAATTCTTTAATTTGGAGACCACCGCAAAAATATTACAATGAAAGGGAATTTTATATAATATATTCCACAAATAGAGAATTATGAAAATAGATATTTAAATAAATAAATAATATTTATTAGATAAATAAATATTTTAATAATATAATCAAGGTTGTAATCTGGAGTTGAATGCATTTTTGTTTTAGAGATTTTGAAGTTCTATTCAGTATTTTGAAAAAAATTAGAAAATTTGTTGGAGATACTCTTACGCACTCTGTACTTGACTTGGAATTTAAAAATGCAAAATGAAACCAATTACTACACTTTATTAATATATGAAGTATGAATAAATTTATAGATTAAGGGGCCGTTTACTAAATGCTTACCCGGTAAGTACTTATCGGGTATTTTTTCTCACCGGATGAACATGGGAAGGACCAAGAATCTTACCTGGTAAGAGCAATGATAAGGATGTAGAGTCTTACCCGGTAAGTGAGAGTGACGATTCTTACCCGGGTAAACGCTTATCAGGTAAATTGTTGTATATGATATGTTTTGATGTACTATAATCTTAAACAATAAAATAAAATTATAGTGTTGACTCCTAACGTTAAGCACTTACCTGATAATCATTTAGGTAAACGTTCCCTAACTAAATGTTAGATGGATGTTTAGCGGAGGAACAATGATCTATCTTACATAATGTGCTCCTATAACATATCACTAAAATGACGACAAGTTTATTAACGGTGGAGACAAATCAATAGTAAAACTATAAGTTTATCTAACTGTAACAACAAATTGATGGGTTGATTAACACAAAAGAAAAAAAATCAACTCAAACAACCACTCTAAAGAAACAACAAATCGATTGATCCATATTAAAATGACATATTTATCTATTATTTAACAAAAAATTTAAATAAAATGATTATAATTTGTTCTTTAATTTTATTACTTACAATTTAGTTTTTAAATATACACATCTATACTATATTATAAAACATTTGATAAAAACTTTTAAAAATCATTTTGTATACATGAAGTACTGTTTATTGATGCATATTACTTAAAATTGAAGATAATAAGTAAATTGTGTGTAAATATAATTTATTAAAGACTCATGTTTGAATTTGTGTAACTAACTGCAGATAAACATAATCAAATAGATAATAAACATTTCATTTTAAATATAAAAGATCAAAAAAATATTATTAGGATAATCATTTAGTTCTAACAAAATATTTATTATTATCTTTATAAAAAAAACTTAAAAAATAAATTAAAAAAATATACCAAAAAAACGAGAAATTTTAAATAGTTAGTTTGGTAACGATATCAAATTTTTTTTTATAATATATAATTATATTTATATTTTATTCAAAAATAAAAACAATATTGTTTTTTCAAAATCACATAAAACCGTATTATAACATCGACAGAGTAAAAAATGAAACATTAAAATTGAGATGTATCTTACTGGGTTGTGCAAGTACCCTTTTAGCATTTAATAAATGAAATGGTGAATATTGGAAACTAAATAATTGTATTTAAAATAGAATATTAAAAAACTATTAAATAATGAATATGGATGATTAAAAAAATGTAATATTCATTTGTAATAGGGGACCATCATTTTGAAAACAAACACTGTATCACTGCTGTGGATGTCTCATCCCTCAGTAGCATTTTGCCTTTTACTTTGAAGAGTTTTAGTTGATAAATTACTGATTATGCAACATAAGGGGCCGTTTACTTGTGATTTGATTAAGTTTATTGATCTATCTAGTTTATTTGCACATCTCATTTGAGTTGTTTATTTACGGCTTATTCGTACAAAATATGGCTTAATCATACAGATAAAAATGGTATGATGTCCCCATTCAGACATAAAAATAACACCCTTACCCCTGATTCCATGTTATTTATTTTTCATATTAATAAAAATATTAACATTAAATGTATATAAAAAGCATTAATAAATATATTGTAACCTTTAAAATATATTTTTTGAAGATAAATATAATTTAAATTAACTTATAATTCTTCATTTAAGGAGTCTTATGAAGATGATTTTAATTATTATAAAACAGATTAATCCAACCAACTTACAAAATCTATGTAAAATGTCCCCTTCCTACGGGACCCATCCAACAAATGTATTGTTTTCGTCTCAAATATATGGCCCACAACAATTTTTAATTTGATAAGCTAAATGCATTCTAAAATACTGTTAAATATATTTTGTCTACTAATCAACACTAAAATTTATTTTATACATTTGAGATAATAATAGTTTTTAATAAATTTATTTTAAAGTGTATTCAGAGATTAAGATTATTTCAAACATATTTTCTTTTAGAAAATCAAAAACCAAAATCTATAAAATTAATTATATTTGATTTTAACAGATCAATAATTTTATTATATGAAAAAATATTGATTTATCTCTCCTAAAATAGGAAAAAAAATATTATTATTTTGATTTTAAATAATCTATTAAAAGTATTCTTAAATATGGCGGATTTCCTTCGATTTAAGATCTACAAAATAAATTTGAAAAAGCAGGATGTAATTTTTTTCGATTTTTTTTCTTTATTTTATAATATTTACGATTTTGTAACGTCAATAATTAATTATAAAATCGGCATCTTAAAATAATTTCAAATTTTTTAACGGACAACTTTATTAGGACTTCTATTAAAAATTTGGTTTTTTCTTCATTTGCAGGTTTGGGTTACAATTTAAGAGACTGTTCGGCAGTTGCTGAATGATTTGATCCATAATGATTAAGTGATCAGAATGATTAAGAGACTATCATTATATAGTGTAAAATGATATATAATTGTTTGATA